TATCTAATTATTATTTTTATAAATAGACGGCGGTTACACCTGCATATAGTATCTAATCTATGATCATATACATACCCTTTTCGTGTTTCATTTCGATAAAAATGTCTATACAGATACCGCTGAAAGCTCGTTTGACAACATCCTTTTTAGCTCTCGTAACGCAACAATGTATGGATAGGTTTGGGTATTTTAGTTACTCCTGCACCTCAGTGATGTGTTATAATACCAATCTACTTTCCGGTCTCATGACACGCATCGGCCTGACTGGTTCAATAGATGTTTTTGGTTGAAAAAAAACTTATTGAAAATAATAATAAGGAAAAAACAAATTATTTTTTAATTTTTTTTTCTGTTTGCGTGTCTGTGTGCATCTGTGCGTACGTTTATAACTTTCACTGAATCAGGTCGACTCGAAACGCAAATAAAATAAACAGAAATTAATCTAGACATGACTAACATTACATATACATATGATTTCGCCTTAACAACAACTAAGGTGCCAACAATAACAACGGTAATATCTAACGTCTATAGAAAATCAAACATACTTCTATATGTTGTCTATAACCATAGTTATGCCATATATACATATATATATATATATATGGCATAATTATGGTTTAACTAAAAAAAGAACATGTGTATAGGTATACAGGCATATATGTCATGCGAGCGCTCACATCGACAACTTGAACTGCTTGAACTTGACGATGGACATACAAGTTCAAGAACGAGGCTTCCTCGTTTTAGTTAGACTATTAGCTATAGGCCACCTTTTTTTTTCTTAACATAACCACAACATATCCGCTTACGATGGCGCAGCGTAGAAAGCGTCTAAATGATTTTACGTGTAAGAGAATTTTTTTACAAAAAAAACAAGTAAATATTTTAGAGCAATAGAGACGGAACCACGAGCACACTCTGCGACGTTCCTAAGTGAAACGCTAAACACCGATGCTGCCGGTAAAATAAACGAGAATATAAAAGAGAACACAGTTCAAATGCAAACTATAAGTCATTAAAAATACTTACATACGCAACGTTTTGGCGCTCAGAAAAGCCACTCAGCTGATAAACATCAGATAATTTCAAATTATTATTATATTTATAATTACTGGTGCATTGTCTGCATTCGGCTAGACATAGCATCGGATGAATTAAAACATCTATACTAACTTTTCGGTTTTTTTTTGACTTACAAAAAAACGGTACATACGGTCCTGTACTCAAAATCAATCGGTCTTGTTACATAAAATAGAGCTATTTGCATTTTGATTCAACTTAACTTACCATTAGAAAGTTGAATTTCTATTTGAACAATGACTTAGTAGAACAGTAACAACTAACTGCCAGTGTCGTTCAATACAGTAATAACATGTTAATTTTGTCTTTTTGTTTTTGAGGGAAGGGCCACGTTATTCCGTGCCTAAATGACTCAACAAACCCCTGTACATGTACTCGGAGCAATGCGTGTGGTCTGATTAACGTGGCCGTGCTACCCAGGACATGACTTTGACTTAAGGTCGGTGGAGCTCGCATGAAATGTTTGTTAACGTATATTCCTCTAGCTCACGTCAAATACCAGCTTCGTTCATGGACGTGATAGAAGCAGCTATCTGTTTCGTTGAGATGTGTTTATACTGATTTTCATTTTTACATACACCAACTTCATTATATATAGGTGATTCTACTGACTCATCCTTATTTCAATTGTTACCCTAATCTGTGACTTTTCATGGAACAACTTTAGTACCTATATCTAGAAGCAGCTGATTGTGTTATAGGTCTTTTGAGCGGCGTTTCCATCATCAACATAGACTATACTCTTTGTAATCGTTGTTCTTATGAACTCTTTCGCCACATAGATCTGCATAATAACTCACTATCTGGAGCAATTAAGTAGACGCGGTCTTCATCGGTCAGTGGGTCCCGGCTGTCTCAAACTCTACGTTCACTATGATCATTCGCTATAACTGCTACTATTTGTCGTTGCTGATATGCGACCTGTTTGATATCATTGTGGCACATTACTATGCACGTTGCACGCAAGTCAATGCACAGCATGTCAAAGCTACCTCTGCCGGTTGGCCGGATCCTTATTGGCGGTTAGAACCGTCACTGTCGTGTAATTAGGGTAGGGTCGGTGAGGTCATCCATTGCACGGTGATTGTTTTGCCCACCTTTAGGCTTAGCTTGGTCAAAGCAACGGTTGCGCATTGCGCTCAGGCTCCGTTATCGAGAAGCTCGCTCCTCCTATTAACAACTAAGTTCCTTAATTATTTTTTGCGGCTTTTACGATTCTTGAACGGACGGAAAACGTGCTTTCGAATCACTGCTTCATATTGTCAACGGCTCATGCGGCGTTAAATTTGCTTCTTCAAAGCTTCCTCTCTGTCCGTTTCGACGTAAACCGTATAGCGAAGCAACTAGAATATACAATGTATCGCTTATTTTGTTCCTATTTTGCCCCCAATCGACATAACGAGATGAAAACGTAGAAAACTGTATAAGATTCCTGTATGATAATATACAAAATTTTGTGGCAATGACAATATTCTTTTCTTAATTCTAAATAACAATCACAAAATTGAAACATTCGTCACATAATCAATCAGAGGTTCTGATTGAATTGCTCTATGTAAAGGTCCTGAACATGATGTGTGATCCGTTTGTTGAGCCATTTCGTTTCCACAGTGAAGTTAGAGATGACGGCAGGCGCTATTACAATGTATCGAGCTGGCCCTAAATCTGTGCCAGGTTGGAAATATGTCATAGCAGTAACTTCAGTAGAACTCATCGTATATGATGACCTCACTGAAGGATCGATTCCTAAGGCAAGTATCGACAACACCGAGAATCTTATGTACCCGCCGATCAAGCGCTTCGAGATGTCCATCGAGAAGTATTGGGGCGACGGCGTCCGAGGACATACTTTGCCGTAGCTTCTTGCTGAGTCGGTGTCCCGGCATCGTGACGAACCTTAACAGTGTCCGAAGCGTCGATTGCCGAATCAAACAACATTGGTACAGAGGAGCCAAAATGGACATCTCGTCGTAATTTGCTTTGCCGAACCTATAACATGTGCGGAAACACAAACAGATATGCGTAACAAACGCGAACGTTGTGTGTAATCTAGGTCATATTGGGTCGATGTGCTTTGGAAGAGACTGCGAATCGAGCCTTTTTAGTCTTTACGACATGTTACATATATCTGAATTTAGACAAAGACTAGCCTCGCTGGGTCTGGTCCTAATAGCCACTGTACTGATTGAACACTTAAACTACCCAAGTACCCATACTCATAAAAATATATGTGTCTTGTTTCTACGTGTGACTTGAACGTAGTCAAAAAAAAAATGCAATCTAATCTGCAAGATAACCGAATGTAAATGTTGTACAAAAGCAGTTCTTATTGTTATCGTTCTCGATGTCGACAATTGCGCGCCAAAATTTGATTTTCAGTCATCTATATATACATACCCCCGTCCATGGTCGAGGTGGACCGGGGCCGATTCGTTGCCGAACAGTTTAAACGTTTCATAGTGATGGCGATCCATGTTCCCTGTGAGGAAGTCGAGCACCGCCATGTCAGTCAGGTCGGCCAGCCGGCGTCCAGCGTTGTATGGAGGCGTCTCTTTGATCAACTCGCAGTAATCAGGATCGATCTCCCACGCGGCCTTTCGTCGCCGGTTGTACGACCTGCACAAACCAACCAGCAGTACATGGGGAGTATTAGAAAGGTGATGAACGTTAGGTTGAGGACGCTCGAAGGCGTTTAAGCTAAAATCAGTAAGGGTTATGAGACTAATACTATACGATTATTGGCTGGTTGATGGGATAAGTGCAGAATCTTTCCAATGCGTTTATGAACATATAAATAACAAGACAGTGGTCAGCATAACATTGACCATATGTATGAAAGTCATTCGTGAAAACCACTTAAAGTATGGAATGATTTACGATTATGATTATGATCTTTATACAGTTGACGAAGCCATTGTAATGCCAATATACATATGTAATAGGTGGCTTTTGTGCCCCGTTCTAGGACGCTACTGGAAAAAGTCGTAGGTATAGATTTCCGTATGTATAATACTAGTATAAAAATACTGTTACATGATGAAGTACGTTAGAAGATAGCGGAGAGGGACGAAGGACTGCCTGGTCATACCTTCTCCAGGGGTGTCTCCACGAGGTTCGTGGTGCAATGTCGGTTGAAGGCAGGAACGCTGCAAAGGAACCCTCCAGATCGTCTGGATGTCCGCAAATCGCGTGCGATGTATCACAGTAGTAGCTACAGTGACCACTGAAGCAAAGATTTTTAGCTAATAAATGCAAGAACAACAGTCAGCAGATCAATCGAAGCGTTAATTTTGTAAATATTCTACCGTCATTTCTTGATTAGGGAATAGTGGAAAGGACGTTGGCCGTCCTTAGATGGGTAATTATTATTGAAGGAAGGCAAAATGGAAATCAACAAATGATAATAATACCAATAATAATAATTTAGTACAATATTCACATTAACAAATTGAATACATACTGAAACGAAATAATGTATATATCAACCATGACAATTCTGCTAACCACAACTTACGCTACCAGAAAGTTCGATCAACTGTTTCTATGGCGCAATAGAAAAAAAAAAAGGTATGCCTTCTTGACCTAAAATCATCCCACGTCTCTAGCGGGATTGTCTCGTTAGTGACCTGCACGGCCGAATTTTGGTATGTCAGGCTAAGGCTTGTCCTATGAGACAGATTAAGCTTAGCGTTTCAAAAGATTTCAAGTGAATATTTACAAGATAGACACATAAATATGTGTATAGATATACTGTCTGTATAGATATTTTTTTTGTTTGAACATCAATAGTTTCAGGTAATTTATCAGGGTGTGAGTGCATCTAAAGCTAAATCGAGTCCGAAGAAAAAATAGCTTTATAGCATTGTTGGCCATAAGCAAGGGAACTATGCAAAACTGATTCCGTTTTCTATAGTAATAAGTACGAATTACATACATATGTTTATTTTGCCAATTGACAATAGGCTTTTGTTTCTGTATTTTGTCAATATCTCGTCCGGTTCTTTATGCAGTTGCCGAAACAGAATAAAAGAATACTACTGTCGTGATAAAAAAGTGTTTATACCAATAAAAAGAATAGTAATAGAAATACAATATTTGTCTTGTGCACTTACAAAGCAGCGTTGTTGATTCCAATATAAAATCAGCACTTTCCTTAGTAATCGTAGTAAACATAATTTACTCTTCCTTACTAATAGTTTTAAGGCTTATTTTTTTACAACACTAATATGCAAACTTTTTTAATAAGGGGTGTCCGGAAACAAACTCGGCTCACTAGCTACGCTGCATTGTCGGACATACTTGTGCCTTTATATACCTTTTTTCAAAGATCACTTCATGTAGATAGCTCCTTAATACCTGACTCTTCTTAATTGCTACAAAGATTTTGCAAGAAATTTAAAACCGTTAACATTATATTCAATCTGCGTAAGTTCTTATAAGTAGAATCCTTGACGTGGTTACCTTAAATACCCGAAATCTCTCCTCCGGTTTGTGATAGTGTTCAGGTGCCCCTTTCAGTTTCGCAGTCTGAATGAAAGTGTGGCCGCCGAGCATCGCACGATTGGGGAGCATGTCAAGAACAGATATTCTTTTTGATGTCTTTATTTTCGAACTGAGTCGGGATTGCTTAATTCATTCATAACTGGTCCATTCAAAAGTATGCCGTGGTCGACACCCTGAATGTCAGTAGGAAATACAGGGGACCCAGTGAAGTACAGGGTCCATCATCGAATGACGGATGGCTTTTCTACTTAAGATACACCGGCTAACAACAGAAGCCGCCTTAAAAAATATATATAACATCTACAACCGAGCAAGGAAATTTCGTAAAAATCACACGTAAACGTTGAACGTAATCTCGGCATTCTACTACAAGATGCAGAGCAGATCATAAAATTGAAAAAAAATAATGTATTTTTATAAAAAGCCACATACTCGACCAATGGGGAGATTATTAAAAAAATAAATGGGGAGTCTATTAAAAATCAAATTGCAAATAGCGGTTCGCCACGAAGGAGTCAGTCAAGAAGGTTAAACACTGATAGGCGAGAGTCTATGCATTTTCTCAGGCTGCACTCGTAGAGCAGACGGCTTTCGTTGTCTGAGAGAGGCCACAAATCTTGACACAAAAGCATAGCTACTAAATGCAAGTCAAGTTAAAAAAGTCGAGAAAGGTCACTGTCGTATCAGGCAAACAACTGAAGTAATTGATCACTGTATTTAATTTCATATTGTAGGTTTTTTTCACGAAGCTCCTATCTAGGAGACTGGTTACGATCTCGGTATCAGTGTTACCGCACCTGTACCAGATACATCTTCTAATTCGTTCTAAGCCAAGGCTTAACTACCTATGTGCATTATCATTGTTAATAACCTCCCTTATCGTTCCTCACTGTTATGACTAGGTATTAAACATTTTATTTTCAATGAACGGCTCACTTCAATCAGTACTGCCTTGCTCTCTCGTTGTCTGATCGTCTGAGCAACTACTGTCCTGTTGTTCGACCGGCCCCGATTTATTATCATGCCGTTGTGTTTGCTGCCGGTATCGTCATTGATTTCACTCCATCTGGGTTAATAATATCTGGAGAACGGGACAACATATCAACAACGTGGAACAACGTAACTGGCCTCAAGTTTTAACTCGTACGAAATGATCACAACAACAACTCCTGTTCGTATAGACAGTGAATCTTATCAATTTTCTGTGTCTATAATCCAAATCATTCTGCACGTAGCTAATCTACAGCTGCTTGATTCAGGTTAAAAATTCATTTACTCTATCTAAAAGAGCAAATTTACCTACGCCAATATTTTGATCAAGACTTAAACTATTTCGCAGAAAATAGTCTAGATTTGTTAAAAAAAAAAAGAAAAAAAACAATGGTAGAAAGCGATCTGTTCAATAGAGTAGGCCTCATATTAATCGGCCCATAGCTAATTAACTATAGTTTGAAAACTCCAAGTATCACAAAACAATATGTCCTGACGAGAGGTTGGTCGATCGTTGATCTCGGCATTAATAACTTCTTAGAAAATGCTATTTTTCACTCAAATGTAGAATAGCATTCTGGAAAACTTACCATAGTGTCGGTATCATACGCTCGCATAAACTTAAGATATGATTTACGTTTATAAGGGCCGCTGCTTCGCATCTTATTAGAAGGTATTGACATGGACGCAATTTAAGAGTAAAACTGGAGAGAACCAGAAGTAGATATTAGGCGGGTTCTCAATTCATATAAAATGTCTGTAACGCATCGAGGAAACATGAACACTGATCCGTTTTAGACTTACTACTCGAGGAGTTCATAGAACAACCAGTAGTAGATTATCTGTCAAAGCTTTCTTCGCGTGACGGGCTGATTTTAACTGATCGGCTCAGCTCACTGCTACGCACCCTTGAATGTTTAGTAGATACGTCTACTCGGCGACTTCAATTCTGCATTTTGTCACCTAGGCGAAAGCAGAATCGCGTGAAACGGCCGATAACGACGAGTTAGCACAAAGGATCAGAGGCCAGATGGATCACTGAGGGGTTGCTTGTAGGCTTCCAGCACTGCCACTGCTGCTTATGGTCATTCGTTGGTAGAAAGACGTCATCAATCCACCAGGCCTCTAGAAGTGCCAAACGAGACCCAACAAAGAATCAGGGCTCTAGGACCAATTTAATCGCCTATTGGCCTGGATAGTTTTTCGTCTGCTGCTGTTCGTTATGCCTCTGCCGTTGTTACGGTACCTACAGCAGTAACACCCTTTACTGATATAATCCTGTTCAAGCTAGATTTTAGATTCACATCAGTGTCTACAGCAAACAGAAGGACCATGTATGGGCTCGCTCGTAGGTAGAAGCAACATGCGGAACGGTTAACGCTTTACCCAGTAATGGCTGTAGGCTAGCCACAAGCCCACAAATTAATCTCTCAAGGCAGTCATTATCTAGGAACGTTCAAGTCGGTTTTTGCATACAGAGATAGATTGAGTCAAATGCTCCACTCGTGCGAGTGGTTCATGCCACTTGTAGGGAGGTTTGGCAGGTAATCTGTCCATACAGGTGTTGATCCCGTAATCGTTTCGAAATCTTAGCATATGTACATATAAACAGTACGAAGACAAATGTGATTCGGCATAATTATGTGAATGATCCAAGCACGTTCCACGTTTCTGGGTTCAAATCATAATGTTTTACGGGTTGCAATTTTGCAACTTGCGGTTGCAAAAAGCAATTGTTTTTTTTTAGCCACCTCTTCGATCAACTAGTTCGTATGCTTCTCATTTGGGTTTACATATATTTCGTATGCATACATACATTTCTACCTGGACACGCATACAAACGCCGTTATGTGCGTCGTTATACATCTCTATCGCTTGAAAAAGTGTCGGCTAAATTAGCGGTGACAGAAACCGTTGCTAGACGCTTTCTTCGGTCAATTAAGCAAGGCAAGGCTTCTCAACAGTTCTATAGGCGAAGCCGTAATTCAATGAAGCTGTATGGGTGGCAATAAATCCAATTGTACAACTTCAAAGGGCTTTGTAAATCCGCGCTATTTGGGTTCTCCCCCTCCCCCCAAAAAAACCCCACCCATGACTTGCCTTTCGTAGTCACTTCGGAGTATAACGTGATTTATACGATATCCTCGCATTGTTCGCGAAAGGAAATCTGTTTTGAAGGTAGCACATTGAAAGTCATAATCAATCATTTAGTTCAAAAACTTTCATTTAAAAGTAAAATGATACTATTGTCCTACGCAAGTAGTTCCTCGCGACTTGAACATATCTAATTATAGATTTTCGTCTTATCGCAAAGGCTCAGTCTTCGAATCTATAATAACCAACTTGTCCATTGCATGCTGGAAAAAGTACAAAAAACCGATTCCAGCCGTGGCTTGTATCGCCAAGCCCCACCCGCAGCTATGTGATTACATCGAGTTGATGGCGATTTTCCGGACAGGAAATAATTAACAACGAGACAGTGACAATAACAGGACCTCTCACCGATTAACCCAAATTACTAGCGATTAGCAAGCAGCCTACATCGGCGCTGGAACACCCTGTGATTTTTCGCTGTGCTTAACATCAGGCCTTTATCGCAAGTTATGCGCGCAAAAATTTGATGAAAGGGTATAGAATTTGACGAACGTAAACACTCATTAGCCCTACCGGCGGTTTTATGTAGTGTGACCCGTTTATGAGTATATTATTGTAATGCTTAATTTTTGCGCCATTTGGATGGCCTTTGGTTCTAGAAGTTAGGCTTAAAATAGGAAATGCGGACTAATACAATGGACCGTGCTTCAGTGATCTCACAGAAGCGGGCGAACCATGTAAGCTTTGACAGGCTTGCATTATACAAGACACGAAAAGCGAAACGTTCAAGAGCGCTGAACGCGCTGCAATCGTAACTTGTTTAAAGGGATTGGTTAAACTGACAAATCAGGGGAATATTAGTGTACGGAAACAACAATTAATGAGCGACGAAAAGCATCGTGACGACCTGTAGATCTCCAAGGTTTACAGTAATCTATATACAGTCCCGCAGCCGGGCTAAATCTACGCGATTGAGTATTTCTTTTCAAATTAATTCAGTTAAATACGACTGCGTAGCTTTTCAGTTGATGATCTTTAACATGTGGTTGACAACAAAAATTCAACTTGTGTTCTGAAGATGACCACGTTACAGCCTGACCATACTACAATACTATATGGACCACTTTTTTCCTTTATCCACAAACGACCTGACAAAGTAGACGCCGCTTGCATGTTTATGGATTTGAAGGAAAGCCATGAATTGCGAATGTATCAGTGGTGCAAAGAAGATTAAACTTAGCCCAGTGTTGTGCCTAGGGGGAGTTACATCCAGAATAGGCCAGCCAGTTAACAATGGGTACACTAGCAAAGGGTCAAGCTAAGTCTTTAACCTAACGTGAGCCTGACGTGGGCTTGGCATAGCGACTTCTGTAGAAAGTAACCACTGGGGGCGCCACGTCAACGGAAGCTGCTGTAGCTGTCTAAAGAGATTCAGTAAAGAGAGGTAACGAAGGCAAATAGCGAAACATGCTGCGCAGCTAACTTGGAGGGATTTCGATAGAGTCCTATCCTTGGCGTCCTAAGAGGACCTAATAAGGATAAGCTTTGCTAAGGCTGCTCAGACAATCTTAAGCAATGTGGGGTTTATCATGAAGGCCTAAGAAGCGAGGTGCCGCCCTAAGAACCTTAAGGCCGACATCCCGCTAAAGGCCGCTTTTTGGCCGTTGACAAGACGCCTGGAGGACAGGTTGGCCCAATGACTTGCAGGCAGCGCTTGGCGTACAAACACGCCGGTTCCTTCTTACTACATTAGGTGTCCAGCAAAATTCCCCTTTCCACTCCTTTTCGTTCTCCTTCATGTATATCTCCGTCAGTCATTCGTAGAACAAAATCGGCCTCTATGGTGCTCTTTTGCGGGTATAATTCCTCAATAGCTACAATCCCACATCTGCCTGGGCAGACTTTGCCGTGTATTCTTCTTTGACAGAGTTTGCTTCGTATCTGATGGATGTAGTGATGAAATACTGATTTTATTAGACTGTATAGTCTTTGTGTAGATTTATAATGTCTTAAAGAGGACAAACAAGGCGGTAGAAGGGACTTGGAATGAAAACCGTTTGATCTAAAATGGAACATACCATGGAAACATATGTTTGATAAATAAAGCATGATGGCGACAGGGGGATAGGGGCTCTCCAGGCAAACAATAAATTGAACGCTGTTGGTCGCTCGATATATCTCATAGGGAATCGAAAGGAAGAGAGCTATTCCACTGTCGTTTCTAGCATTCTAGCAATATAGCCTTATTTGTTCTGCTTAGCCGATGCTACCCGTGGGCTCGGACCATCTAAATAAGAACAGAGCACTTCTTGTAGGCCAGCCTAACCCGTTTTGGTAGTCTTTATCCCCAACAGAAACAGCAACTATAGCTGTACCGTGACGCGAGAACTAAGCGGATCCACCAGCGTCCGCCCAATATCGTGGCATCCGTCACAGCATCTGTGGCGTGTACTTTGCTGGCGTGCTTACTGGTCGCATTTGGCAGTTTTACTGCCTAGCAACCATTGGCTAGCCAGCTAGCAGAATAACCAGCTTATGTATTCCGTATAGCGAACCACAGCTTTCAGGAGCTCAAGGTTCGTGTGGGGTTACGTAATTCAGAACTGTCCCAGGTGTCCGACCAAGTTGCCTAAACCCGCTTAATCTAGCATTGCCTAACCTAACTCATTATCATTCGACTGCAAGAGAAATCGAAGAAAACGTTCAGTATTAAATGTAGCGAAAACTTCACTTCTGTCAATAAGAATATATGTAGCGATAAGACAATGGAAGCGTACGTGGCTTTACCGGCTGACAAATCATTGTGTCGTCTACACAGAAGTCCCGTTTGCGGGTACATCTGACATGGATTGCCTGGAGGATAACCTGTGATAATCTGGCTTTTGATTCGGTCCGACTGCTCCGGTATATCCGTCAGTGTGAGCCTTTGGTCGTATGTATACCTACACAACTTTATATTTTCTGCTGCTGCGATAGCAAGATTGTGTTCTATGTACGAAGTGTATACCAAAGGCTCACTGTATCTCCGACTAACTCTGGGAATTAGTCTGATCAGAGCACGCATGATGGGCACCGAAGGAATGCATGACCGCAGGTACCTAAATGGCTCTGACTAGAGGACAGCTTCCTTGGTGTTAAGAAATTAGTCGTGCGGGTGAAGGGACGTCTGAATGAAGGAAAACTTAGGCCAGAATATATGGCTACAGGATCTTATGTATGAAAAAAGTATAACTCATTGTTTCGACGCCACCTTTCGTGTGGAGTTGAATACCGCCGGATTGGGTTGGTTTCCCGACAACGACTCCGCTCATGGCTCATTTGGATGATAGATAATTAGGTAGATTGAAGAACGACCAGGAAATGCGCTCTACGAATCAAGTCTGTCAAGTACGATATTGCCTATTATAATTACTGCAATAAGCTTTGCTATTGGCACATGTGAAGTTGTATATGTTTTAGCCAACATGAGTAGTTGTATTTTAAGCGGTCAAAGACAATCTCTCTCTTCCCTTTTTTGCGTTCTAGGCAAAGGTGTTGGAAATCAAATCTCGAAGGCCAACGCCTTTGCTTTGTGTATCTCTGTGTAGATAAAAAAAAGTATCTCAATAAGATTTGACAATCATATTACATATATGGTTGTTATATCAAGTGGAAAGGTCACCGGATCTGATATTAATATTTACCAAGCGAACTACATACGCTGGGATGAATTATTACTTAATAACTGTTATATACTGGCGAGAAGAACAACTTTGATTTAGCATTATTCAGAAAGCTTTATAAAGAATAAAAACCGCCAGTTCGCATCAACCTTTTTCCTTAGTTGGCTATGTATGTGTAGTGCAAATTCGCGGTTATCTTTTAGTTCACGATCGGTCCATCAACTTATCGATTGCTCAAGCTATACAACATTAAAATATATTTGTTACCTACTTACCCTATCTATTTTTAAACCCAGAATAAAAAAAACCATATATATATATATATATATATATATATATATATATGCATCGCACGACAAATAATAATATTAGCGTTCATATCAATAATAAAGAACCAACCTGGTGAAACAAAGAACGTCTTGGCAAGATTCTGGTCAGCTAGTGCGTAAATTTCTGAGGTCATATTGAGCGTTCTTCCAGCGACGGGCGGTGCACGCCGGAAACCAAGCGCTCTGAAAACAATAACAATAAAATAGTCAAATGAACATAGACCACAACAGACTACAGTAACGCACAATTAAAAGGGGTTCGTTAAAACGCTGGCGTCAACCGGTACATTCCTATGACTTTAGGATGGGTAACCCATCAACGGCTACAGAACCCGAGGCAACGTCCGATGCCCTAGCCCCTTAAAGCCCTTCTTTCCATGCCCTGCCCGCATATATGCATTTAGTTACAATTGCAGTACCGAATATGGTCATTATTCTTATCATGATGCTTGTGGTTGACTACAAAGTGTAGCTACGCCAAACGCGGGAAAATACGAAAAATAATTAAAACGGAACCTGGACGAGGCCGTGGACGGTGACTATTATGGACTGATCACTGACTTCTATCATCTACATGTATACACTTTCGAATGCGGACGATTCAACGCACAACCGGATACGACATAGCGCATTTTCGATGATGCCATGGTGCGTCGGGGGCCAGCAGCTAGTCCTAGTTGTTTGACGCTGTCACGATATCTGAATATGAATAATGGGTGTCTACGTGAGCACGTCAGGTTGGTAGATAGCAACCACATAGGATGGGTAGAATGACAGTGGGGAAAGAAGCAAGCTATACTAAGCTAGGCGGAACAAGAGATGCAAACGCTTCGTACCAAGGGACAGACGAAGGCGATGAAGCGGATTGATTCAATTGTGTCAGTCACTACGATGATGGCAACGTTAGCGACCTGGAAAGCCGTCAGCTGAGGAAGAATGTTCTACGGCGCCCTAGCTCGATAAACCTACAGTAGTAGCATGGAGATTTACAACTGTTATAATGAACAATACGGCTCGTCTGGCAAAAGATGGAAAATACACTATTCGATTATTCAGAATCTTTTTCTGATCAAGTTATGATATGAGGGCACTTTCTCGATGTTCTGGACTAGACGTCAACACATGCAGGCGCCATGTCTGACTGAAAGTGGTTGGCAATAAATTGAATTTTCTGCGGGTTTATGCGTACAATATACAGTAAGTGTATGGCCCTAAAGACAAAGATGGGCTGAACTTCTCGTAGGCTGTAGGCTGTCGTATCCGTTTCAATGACTTTCATAGCCTTTATCAGCATTTGTTTCCTGGATCTTGCCAGTTTAAAAGGACAACATTTAAGAATTGTTTATTTCCTACTTCACACTACACTTCAACTACTTCAAGCAATCGGTACAACAACAAGTAATGACTCTTGCAGCACCCTTATAAGCTGTTATATGATAAATAGTGAAAAGCTTCTTTAATTACAACCACGATAGTAACATCCAGTATAGACCTCGTATTACATAATAGTAATAGTATAATTAACATAATAACAAGCATTATTATAAGTTTGTTAGGGGCAAAATGTGGCAAGCACGAAAAAGGCGCGCTGGTGTCGGGTTCGCTAAATAAACGATGACAAAACTAGTTACATAAACGTAACCAGCTAAGCATTGAATACGAAGGTCGTCGGTATATCCCTTCCCCTCTTCCCCCGTAGCTTGTGTACACCGACTGTTCGACTATACAACCTCTGCAATGTAACGAAAGAAGCATTGAGGCATAGAACAGTAAGTTGCCGTTGGAAAGGCTGTGAAGGTGGCGGCCACATCTAATATGAAATAAAGCTGTTAACCGTGTGCCGCGAGGTTGATGAGGGCCATCTGTTCTACCTGATAGTCTTCAGCAACTCCTATGGTCAGAACACCGGGAGAAGAGGTCATGCCTATGTCAGAGTATGCTTCACAAGAACATGGATAAAACTCAGCTGCTCCACAAACGATGAAATCATGTTAGATAATGTCCAAGATTAGTCCAACAGGTGGAATACAGATAGAGAGCGACAAAATGTAAGAGTAAATGGAAAAAAAAGCGCGGTTAAAAGGCCTTTTGGCTAGGTCCTGCCATCCTACGAGGTTTTCCTGCAACGTCTACACAGGTTCACCGCAATTAGACGTAATAGCGATGCTGTTACTAATAGCTTAGATAACAGTCTTCACAGGTGCTGGACACTGACTATATGAAATATTCGGTAACGCACGACATCACAATGGCACAAAAAGGTTAGCATATCTCTTGTAGCATGTAGCATGCCTTTGTCCAGCTCCTTAATATCGGCAGCAGTCTCTGTCGCTGTCGATTCCAACAGCGTGCTTCCTTAACCCAATGGTAAGTGCCATCAACAACGATCGATCGATCGATCGAACGGCGTCAACGTTCATGATATATTGCTATGATGCCCTAGAACTTACTCGTTATTTCGTTAGTCAAATTGATAGCGATGGCAGAAATCTGTCTCATAGAATATAGATGATATTATATAATGGCAATATGGCGTGTCCTAATAGCTCCAGAGAAGGAAAAACGGCAAAGTCCAAAGGGCATATATGAATGTTGCCTAGCTGCAAGACTTCACGCGCGCATTGCCATCATGGCTTCCGTAGCGGGGTCGAAAGAAACTATAAAGAGACCGAATCTGCGAGGCACCCAAGAGTCTGCCGAAAACAAAAATATTTAACGCGAACATTTATAACTGCAATCACCATAGTAAAATTTATCACTGACGTTATAACAAATGGTTAGATAGGGCGGTGGTTTTCGGAAGTTACTGAACTCAACGAATCGCACGCCTCGGTCACGGTATACTCTTCTGTGAGCGGTATTATCCAGCGTGAAAGAGCATGAATGTAATGAAGCGTAGCATGTAACAGTGTACGGGTCTAGAAGCTAAGCCAGATCATATATTGGCTGTGTTTATATATACGCGTCAGTAGACTATAACGTCAGGTATTTTGCTGTCGCGCAGACGAAACCGTCCTTTACCTATCGCATGATATACTGATATCCACTACATCTCGACACTAGTCGACAATCGGCTACACTATAAACTGTAGAGGAGAACTGGCACTGGCTACGGAGGAAATTTCTGATATTCTATCCTTAGATTCAACAATTTCATTTGCTTTGACCGAACCAACTATTCTAGTAATTGAATGGTTTGATTTGCTTTTCGTAAAATTCGAAGTACAGAAACGTTTCGTAGCCACTCGCGTGGCTGCTCACTGTTACTTTTGCTGCTTTTTGCCCCTACTGAAGTGGCTCTGTGATGCGGTGCAGGCCCGCCACCGTCGCCCTCAGACCGTGAATGATCTCATGTATTGTATACATGTGTGTTCATATTTAAGAAAAATTGGTTAAGGCCAAGTGTTTTACGTGCGTTTGTCCTGCTTCAAGCCAGTGGTGTCGCTTGGTCCGAGAATCTTCCAGATATTGCGGAACGTTCAATGGTTGACTTGAATGAAAGTCGAGGGGTGAACTAACCACTGCAATACCTTTCATCGTTATCGATTATGTCATTGAAAAAAAAAGAAAGGTTTTTTTCGTCGAGGATCTAAACGATGAACTCATAGAGGCTACCAGCCTCTGGCCCAGTGCTCATTGTCAATTTGATACGTTGCCACGGCCATACGGGAAAAGGTACGCACATGCACAAGGACACCGATGCGACGTATGCATTGTGTGAAAAGGACGATGATACACAAAATATACAAGAGTCCATGCTCAAAAGAGGACAGTACGGTTGTATTTCGACCCATGACTAATACGCTATGCGATCTGCGTTTCCGGTAGCGGAAAAATAGAAACGAAAATGATCGAAATCCATTATTAGGGGGTATGAGCGCTATTTGAGTTCCGATAATTAATAAAAGCCATTGGAAAGAGACATTGCACATTTTCCTAGGTCGTTTTTCAATACGAGCATTAGGAATAGTGTAAGCATTTCTCAGTCATCACTTTTATTCAGTGCCCACTATCGACAGCACTATACTCATTTAGTAAGCAACGTAATAGAACACATAACAAATAATCTTACTGCCTAAGGCGACGTTCGGACGATAGGAATTGACCTTTGGCCTTTAGTCCTTACACCGGCTAATTAGCTTCATACTAACCTTGCAACAACAGAACAGGGCTACATAAAACTGATATATCTAAAAATATGGTGCACACAGCGACGAGTATTGGCCCCTATATCAAGGCTCATTAGCTATTAGTGCTATCACACGTGAACGTGAAGCCTTACTCGCCCTATCTCTCTTGTCCTGTCTCGCTTCCTTATATCGCTCTGCTTTTGACTCTGTTCAGGACACTTATTTGCTTGCTCAATGCGGGTGTACCAAAAATTACCGCTGCAACCGCTATCGACAACAAGTAGGAAAGCTTTTGCTATTCGCGTCATCTTCCAGGGGCAATCAGATTACACTAGCTTGCCCGTAAATCTACTACACCTTCTGCTGCTGTGATACGCCGTCCTTTCGTTAGATGATTGACCGGATGTCGTCGGAGAAAGCTGAGATCCATTCGCATGTAATCAAGTTTGTCGCCCAGCCTAATTGGTTCGTGTAAACACAAATCTGAATTTCTTTTCTGGAAATTATCCGATCTTTGCTGCACCATTATTATCAGCACCACTGCCGAACTACAGGTTACATAGTGCCGCTGCAATTTTATGCGGCTCTAATGGGAAACCCTACAAGTACGTGTCTCGAGGACGGCTCAGACAAGAATGAAGGCGATGATCGGACAAACGGACGAAGCCAAGCGATGCCAAAGGGCACAAAATGGCTCTGAATCGTACGTGCTTGGGCATAGTATTTATTAAATTAGGTACATAGTACATGGCATATTATAGTTAAATCTGGAGTATGTAAACATTCCGTCTATATTGTTGTATCATAGGTTTTGGGCGGTAGCCGATGGGCGGGTTCCGTCGAGGCGACCCGCGAGAATCATATCATCGATTTTTTGTTTTAGTTTTAACATCTATCAAGACCGGTACACACGATTGACCCTGATAAACTGTATTGTATTATGGGCACGCGAAACGTGAGTTCGAAGGAGACTATGCGGACGCACTTTGTAACAGATATCATTTTCTATCATATCAGAAAGCAATTTCTGCTGTTTACCGCTGTTTTTCGGTCTCCTGTGAAAGATGGTCATTTGTCGAAAAAGGCGCGCGCTAGACTTTCGCTAGCGAAGAAGCGCAGTATTTTTTTTGGGGGTTTGGCTAAAAGGCCCGTAACATCCATAACAATTAGTGATTTTTCAGACCAGATCAGACACGTCAGAGCTACATATGAATATATACAAACGTGCGAGATTGTATCGGGCAAACCATAGGCGATTACAAAGATAGTAGCTTCCAGCTTTGACTAGATTACTTATGACATGTACAGCCTGTGTTTTTCAGCCAGAATAGTAGTGACAGCTTATCTTATCAACAAGGCCGAAAAGCAGCAACAGCGAAACTGGAACTTTTATGAGGCGGTTATTTATCCATTGGATGTCGTACATTGCTAGAGACTTATAAGACCTTCATACTGGATTCATTCTGTTGAAATCCTCGGACTTCTAACGTGAAGTACTAAAACATACAACTGCCATAACAATGAGGAACTAGAGAAAACTTCTGATGAGGTGCCGACATCCGACTTGTACATAAGTAAGGCGTACAGTTAGGAACATAATAGAAGTCAGGATAATGATACATCTGCATTGACAAGCGTGCATAGTAAAAAAAAGATAAGATTTGATGTATGGCAAACCTGTATGCCTGGCACTCTATGATATACAATAACGGAAATAGATTATTTATAATGAATGGTGATAAATATAATTTACCAATAAAAGTACGGCTAATATGGTATGCTACGGGTAGATTTTTTTGATGGGCCTAATATGATACGCGATGTCTGCTGATGCCCAGATCCACGACGAGTCTCGTCTACTAGGGCCATTTCGCCCGTAGAAAAAGTATATTATAGACAAGTACAAGAGTGTAATTAGGGTATTATTTCGTGATATTTCGACAATACTTTAAGCAGCTTTCCGCATTAAGCAGAGCCTCAAAATTAAAAAATTGCAGCATGTATAAATTAGCTGAGGGACCAATAGTTGCTATTTCTGACCACTGTCAATTGCTGGCCTGACGGGACATCTTTGTAACGTTCTCTTTTCTCTTATAATATTGCTGGTCGAGCGGGAAATTAACCTGTTCAATTTTGGCGTGCTCAAAAAGCGGCTGATACCAGTATGATCAATAGATACAAAGAAAATAGGGATAATTTGCCCCCTGGATTAGAATTAGCATTACAAATGTGTGAAATGTGAAACAATTTTTCTATAGCTCAAAAGGCTTCTTTGCTTTAGTTGTTTTATTTATATCTCGTGGTGTATATGCAACTTATTACTTTAGCAATCAGTTAACTGGTCTAGCAGCCCGCTGGGTCGCACCTCTCAGTCAAACCCAAAGTATACAATTGTAACAATGCTCAACAATAAACGTATCATTTTATATTTCCTTGAAGCGGAATTAGAATATTGTGATACAATGGCAGCTCAGTTTAAAGAGTTCTCAGTATGGCGTCACGAGCATTATAGAGTTAAGCACAACTGATCTAAATGCGAACAGACGAGAGGGTCAAAACAATAAGCAAAATCTGATAAACTGCAATGCAACTAGTGCCAATTTGTCTGTTCGGTTACCTTGTTTCACCTTGTACACCTACAATTATTGAATTATCATTCTATCTTTCAAATAAGGTACCAGGTAGTTAACCACTAGATAGTTTACCTGTCCAAGTGATACGTTGCGATCTCAGCGTTGTGACGCTCGTAGTCAACGAAATAGAAGTGATTCGGCTCCGTCTCCTTGTCCCGCGGGAACCTGCAGGAAAACAGGTCGACAAAGAGAAAAACAATGACAGCAACACTCGTTGATTGATTAGTTATTAGATAATGTACCGTTTGCTTTCAGGTTTTAATATTCCGCGACTGGGGCGCGTAACCAAATAGCAGTTTGCAGAGGTAATCTACTTTCAGGCATTTGCAACACGACTAGAGTACCAAGACAAAACTGTATAGTGTTTTACATTTTTAGTATAGTAGTATAGAGATTTGCATACAAGTCCTTTCAGCATATTCTTCGTTTTACCGCTATGCATGCTCTCGTCCGCACACAGTAACTATCCGCGTTTAGTCAGAAATCCCTGCAACTTCGCTGCGGAACTTCACCGCCGACAGCTCTGCCGCCACGCCGCCGTCACTACAAGCTCTATCAAGGCACCCGTATACATTACTGAATCTTTCGTGGTCTTAGAATTTCGTCGCTGTCTGCTACCATATCGGCATACCGAACTTCCATGTCTCCCTAGGTTTATTTTGAAATTTCGCGGGTCAGACAGTAGCTTTGCTATTTAGCTCCCTGTCCTCATTACTCCTTACCACTTAAACCCCTCTAAGTAAACTGCACATATGTACACTCATATTCACCTAATAAGTAGTGACTTAGTCGCATTATAACTGGATGCAGGCAAAAGAATCTTCATGCTGCTTTTCCGCTGGGGTGTCTTTGCATTGTGTTCGGGAACGTAAACATCCTAAATAATTTTAGGATACATAACGAAACTACTACCCTGCCGTCGCCTGGTTTCAACGTCTTTAGCTCTCGTTTCGTATGTCCCACGTTGTTGACATGTCCCATCTGGACCCGACATAAAACTTCTGCTCACACGGTTGGCGGGGCGAATATCAGTTTCTAAAAAAACCCGTACTAAATTTTGTCTTTTTGGATGAGTGCAGAGGCAGTGGTACGAAGACAGTCCTATTATTATGGTCTGCCTCAGAGATCGGGTAATCGGGTAACTGCTCGGTTACCCAAAAGTCGCATTCGGAGAAAACTGATCCAAGAACGATGACCCGCAGTCCAAATTTTTGGGGAATTACTCCATGGATATCCATAATTACGCACCACATACGTTGAAGTTTGCGAAATAATCAGAGGGTGTATATAAGATGGAGATTTTTATCTGACAATAGCCGTGTGAGCTAAATCGAAAGCTCTGTTGTCTAACTCCCGCCGTTTACCTTCGTTTCGGCAAACCAGATACGAACTGCACTACCCTAATCGATAAAAAGTTTATTTTAACTTAAAGGCTGGACGTCATTGTCCTTTATTTTAAGGACAATGACGTCCAGCCTTTGAAATACTGAATTTCGCTCAGGAATGAACGGCTGAGGTGGCCAGAAATATATCCATGTCACACGTTTAAGTGCAGCCGGCGTCGTGAGAGGTTGGCAAGCTGTACCTAATATATATAAGGTGGAACAAAGTCTCTTGACAGTTTAAGAGCTTTTATTTTGTGTTTATATATATATTCTTAATATGTGCCTTTACCTTTTGAAATCCGTATGCAATAAAACCGCCAGCGGTTACATAACTTCTGAAACGATGACCAGTTTCATTCAGTTACAATGACTAGGCATTTTAGATCAGCTGACTTAATAGGCTGAGATTCACATTAGAATATCTAGCATTTGGCGGCATCGTACGCGAGGTGCTGTCACTACAAATTACATTCATTTGCGAAACATTATAATAAATTTTGTTGTGAGTCTAACGGGATGAATGGCTGTCGACTTACTAGGTTCAGGATGCCGTGACCTAAGACTTACCTCATGGGCTTGAAGAGCGCCTGGCCCCCATTTTCATAATCGATAATTAGCTTGAGCTGGGTTCCTCCTTCCTTTTGGACGACTCGCACGATTTCTAAGCGGGCCATGTCACGAATCAACTCGTCAATGATGGCCGAGTCAGCTGGGTACAGCTCGTCCTGCGAGATCGCCGCTTGAAACCGCTCAAAGGTCGTCAGGTTCCTGTAAACGACATGAAAGTCACGACATGTTACGAAACGGCACCTCATCCAAAGTATATTAATCATATTTTGTTTTTAGTAGCACATAAGGTCAGCTTAGATCGAAGCAATGAGTACTCATCGTACTATTCTGTAAGCGTACTTTTATATGGGTAGATGCACAATCGGATTGTTTGGCCTCGTTGAGCTATATGATCACTCCCTTCTATTAACTAGTATTTTTCTGGTTGGTTTTATTGCTAATGAAAAGCTAAGTTTCGTTTGTAATGTCTGTTCTAAAGGCGCCCATAATTAGCAGCGACATACTAATCGAAGAGGAACTTGCCGCAATAAATGGAACGGATATTATAGAAGCAGGAGGTCAAAGGCGTATTGCTTTATGCTGGGAGACCTGGACGGGCCACAAAATCCTGTAGAGGCTACTTGCGACCCTGCGACGCTGTCACTGGCCCAGGAATACCTAAATGGTCTTTTTCTATTAGATACTTCATAGATAGTTTGGCGGTAAATAAAGCCCTGCTCTGATTTTATTGTAGTTGGAATATAGCTGACACTCGCATGCTGAATGAATATTGAATCGCGTGGCATTTTTGTTGTTGATTTATATAAGGCCGTTGTTTATGTTGGATCGGTTTCGTAGGTTAATATGCCCACTAAGCTATATATGTTGCTAATGATAGCAAGGGATAAATATTAGAGGAAGGGTTATATCGGATAAACCGTTGAGAAACCGACTAGCAACGTGCTGGATCTTCACAGCAATGTAGAAACAGTTTTAACCAAAATTCGTGCTATTTTTACCCTCGAACTCTCGTTAGTGTAGTTTTTTTTTGTCTGTTTTGTCTATACAGCACGAGCTGATGTTAGAATATTGGCAAGATGTCGATGCCACGGAAAGTTATGCATATTACGGTACGACTATGAAGTTTATCACTATCAGGGACCAGCGAAGCGACCAAGCCGTCCCAATATCTTTTTGCCCGTTGGACATTTACCGGAAAAGCGTTTGACGATGCTATAAGGCTTCAGCAGTTTTTGCCATCAGTATTTGCCAAAAAAAGTAGAATGTTCCAATTTAATAGGTCCCTTATAGCACACATAGAAAGGCTATATTTACGTACAGAGCAATCTGAATGAATTTTTTGGTATTTTTCCAGTGTTGTTGAGCGCTGGTTTTGATCTACCAGGTTACACTTGCCAAACTAAGCACTAGCAGCTTAATGAATGTTAGCTGTTCGTAATTATGTGCCTAAACTAGGTAGACCTCTTTTAGAGGCTTATTTTTTTTGTTACGTCTGTTCCGTAAGGCTCAGAAACGTGTGTTGATAGAGTAACAATACATATCCCTCTACGTTCAAAGTCTACGCGCAAAGCTGGCTTTAATATTCAGAAGCTTAACTAGTTTCCAAATTAAATTAGTATTAAGTTAAATTGGCGTTCCCTAGGGCTCAGCTGTACACATTTGCTTTGCACGAATCACAAAGAGGCAGAAATTAGCTTCCTTTAATGTATGGATTTCCTTTTTAGCATTCACACTCTGATTCATGCCTGTCACCTTGTAAAGGTCCTACTAGTTCTGCATTTAATTGAGTTGAATATGGCAACTGCTCTCGCAGGCGGTTGACGCTCATTTAGTAACTGCAAGCCAATTTAATCTCTTTTTACCATTCAACCGTATGTACTATTATATAGGGCTTCCCTCACGAGCAAGAAAGCACAAAATGAAGGCGAAGTGAGCTTTTAGTCAAACTGAACAAGTCAATCATTCGCGTAACCATGTTGCCCGTTTAAATTTGATAACAGAATTTGTTATTAACTGATGGCCGCCGCGACACGAGCTAAATTTTCTCAGACGCTCAAGTCAGGTTAGAATGGCGTATGTTGGTGCCTGGGGGAGGGGTAGCTAGGCTTGTGGCCTGAACCTAGGCTTAAAGAATCGAGGAAGGACTTAATGGCTGTTACAAAGAATTGCCCAATATACCTTTAGGTTTGGCAAGCAGCGAACGGTCCTGCCAGACTGTCACGTACCCAGTCCGGGTCTAAATCGCTGGTAGTTCTGCCATACGTGTATGGCCCTGGTTTTGGATCGCGTCCGACCCCACTGTAAGCCGTCGTCGCTGGTTGGCAAAACTAACAACGAATCCTCCCGTCGATAATAACAACAACGATGGTAACATCACACCAACAACTTCACGATTAGTAACTGCGAATGAGGGCCATGGAACTGAAGTAAGATTGAACGCCATTAAGTTGGGTTTAAAATCCAGTGTTACAGTATCAAGTATAACTTTCAAATAAGCTAATTGCTAGTGCTTGCCAAAAACCGTGTTCTCCTTCGTATCTCTTGACAACAAACAGGGCATCTCAGTTGAAATGGTTGGATAGGAGTTTTTGGGCACCGTGGCCGACGGTGTTCCCACGCTGCTAGTAGATACGGACTACACAAGCCGAAAAGTGGCATTAGAGAAGAAACCAGGGCTCACGGTTTTTTCTGACAAAGGGACAGACGGGGGCGGCAAACCGGCAGAGTCTCGTAGCAGTTCCCTATGCATGCGAGAGCTCCCCGCTGTGCTAGCGACCGGTTTTGCTTCACAGAATTCTATGGATCGCAGGAGCCCTACACCGCTATTAAGAACGCGAATGAGAACCTGCGAATGGCAATGCAACGGATGACACCGTAATCTGGGTGTGTCTTGTTACTCCTCAGGGAGACATCGAAAAGAAGCCACTGCTGTAGAATGTTACTCGCAACAGAAGTACGTTAGCTCCAACAGCAGTAAGAGGCGAGCAGCCCTCGGAAAAGATGCTGGGGAAGCTGGTCTACAAGCGAAGCACAATTCTCATTGTTGAATGATATGGGGCTCGTGGAAACCCCCCACAATCCCATTTGGCATTTGCCGTAATGTAAAAAAGGCCGGTAAACGTTGCCGGGAGAGCGTTGATGAACTACAAAGACGAAGATGCGGACAAAAGTGACAACTGCTACCCGGTGGCGACGGAGGTGCGAAGTATTTTACCATTTCAAAATCGATAATCTTCATAAGGCGGATTCAGAAAGAGGCGGTAGCCATGACGTATCAATAAGCACGAAGCTAATGTGGTTTCCGATACGTTGGATTTTGCGTAGTACATAGTGTGCTATCCGATTTGAGCGTATTCAATTATTGTCATATCTTCTGAACGACTTTTCTTATCTTTATATGCAATATGACGTCGTTCAGTCCAATACAAACATTTTGTAAGATAAGTTTCTGTGCGGTCAGATTGTTCTCTTATCTTCTGCAGACGAGAATTTAGATAATTACAGAGCCACTCAAAACATGATTCTTTCTACCGCCGCTCCTGGCGTTTAAAACCAACTTTTTAAAAAGAAACGAAATTCAAAAGTCTTAATTACCAAAAAAAGACTGTCCATAGCAGACAGATGTCGTTTTCGGTTAGCGCCTGTCTTGCGTGTACGGCCGTTTTGCTTTCGTAGAACCTTATCATTGTAGTTTGATAACCAGCCACAGATACAAGAATAGCGGTTTTCCACATATTGAAGGCTGTACCCTCATACTTCACTGGCTGCAACTTACTCAGATGCCACTATCACTAGCCATTACCAGAATCAACAAATAGATACAAAGAAACTATCTGGCTGAATCATCAACGATAGCAATGAATAATTATTATAGAGTGTCTAATTGATTGATGGTCGATACTTGTAAATATGTGAAAAGTTGTTGGTCATCATTGAATGGATTCGGAAGACTACTTAATGAAGGCATCTAGCCCGCGCGAACATGATTGTGTTCCCAAAGCAATTGTAACTATCGAACCATGTGTACATGTCTCTATGCTAATAACAATTAAGTATTGTTATTCAATACTCACCCATCAAACTCGACGTTGTTGAGGTCCATGACGGTAGGATTCGAGTGAGTCCTCTTGATCCAGCGCATGATCAGGGCCTTATCTTTGACTGCGTCAACGGCTATCCGGTTGTCGATAAGCGCCTGTAAATTTCTGTACGTCTCTTTCATTTCGGACGTCACCTAGAAATCGTGAATATACGGTAAGTTGTGCATAACTAGTGACCAGATGGTCAGCAGGTTGAAAGTATTAGTGCAATACACGTCTTTTTTGGTGTCTTACGAAGGCCTATTAGCATGACACAGGCAAGCTGGTTATAATAGAAAAAAACATCATAGCCTGCTTCACCCCCTTTAAACTGTTATTTCTTCTGCTATTACAACTACTTTTACTAGGCCTATTGAGACTACAGCGTGGCGAATGAGCCTGCCAACATCTTTACTCTACCTTTGCCCTTGCACCGTGTCGTAAGCCATTGCGGGCTGTAGCGGATAGAGCATTTTAACCGCCATAAAAATTCCCTTATTATCAGCCCTTTCTACCAGAAAACCAGTGTACCACTAAGGTTCGGTATTTTTCTTTAGCGCATTAAGACGAACGAATCTGAAAGTCAAAAGCAGTAAGAAGTTGGCTGTTTCATCCTCCATTGCTGAGTCTCAGTCATCGTCAGGGTCGGGACAAGCTACTACTCACTTGGAGAGCTTGCAAGAGTAAAAAGGAAAGAGGCCAGTAAACTAGCTGTACGGATAATGATGAACGAATCTAGGTCAAAAAAAGAGTCTGCATAAAAGGAAGGATCATTTACCTTGAGGCTTCGAGACTTAGGCTTCTTTGTTAGGGTGTCACCGTTGTCAGATGATGCTGCTTTTTTTTTTTTATTCTTCAATGAGGGGCTGCCCGCAAGCTTTCGTCCAGCTGGAGCAACCGGTGCTGACCCAGGATCCTGGTACAGCTGGTTGACGTCATCGCCATACCGGTAGACAACATGCGCTCCTAATATTGGAAGGTTTCCACTTGAACTATAATAGAAAGTTGCAAAAAAGGAATACATAGACGCATAGATTTATTTGTGTGTGCAGACGGTATCTGAGCAAATGCACCGATGTGCATCGAAACCCATGTATTTCGTCTACGATAATGAAAAAGCAGAGTGTTTCTTTTTGCAACACATGCTATAAACATGTTTTGACAACAAAATTCCAGAGATGGTCCTGCCAGTTGTGACGATCGTGTCAACTAAGTTTAAATGCCAAAAACTAGTGCCGGAGGAGTTGCCAAAGAACGGCTTTGACGGATATGTAATATGGTTTCCATGCTCACTTAAAAGAAAGAGATGTATGGAAGCATACAACTTAGTGTTGCTCATCAATCGCAGCATTTGTGCACCTATTCTTAGGATTCGAATAATCTTAAGCAGCTCAAGTTTCGCTTACTGTTTCGTCGGAAACAGCAAAACCCTTGGTTGCGTCATGATGGTCGCGTAATCAGATCGAACTGGTGGACAACGACCTTGTTTCGGCCTATACATGCGCCTCCAACAGGTGAAGGATCGAAGCTACAATTCGTTTAGCCCACTTGCGGCTGCTACATTTCAGTGCTGAGCTTTCAACAGTGGCCGCAAGGTACGGATCACGTTTGCAAAATAGAGCATTGCCTGCGGACCCATGCCTATGTGACTATAAATAGAACCTTGTGATGATCCCCGCATAAGTACTCCATGACGGGATCACACTGCTCGATCACCCAAAGCTGCCTCGTGCCTTTACCTCTCCCTTTGTACTGAGGTAGCGCTCGGAGCGCCCACTTATCTGATACATGTAGCAGGGGTACAGCAAGTTAACCACTTATTGCCAGTCGGTTGATGCCAAATGCACAGGCTCAGACGCTAGACGTTCAGCACTCGAGTGGCTATTGCCAGTTCAGCTTAGCACCTTGATGAGCCATATAGAAAATAGCCTGTTGAAGGTTTGTTGGCCGTCTTCAGCCCTACTTGGGCCACCAGAGTATAGACAGACAACTCGGGAATGGAGTGGATGCCAGTGACGTAATCGCTGACAAGGGATCGTCGCGTTACCACCTCTATGGCTTAACGCACTTATTCGTCGCAAAGAGATGCAGCGTCACTCACCGGTACGCGTAAGTCTCGATTAATATGCCTATGTGGTAATATGTGACGCATGGTTGCACGCTTGCGACATGATATCGTATTTAAAATCCTATGCCTAAGAGACCCCGAGGCCGGTCTGCCACCTTTGTCCACTTGCGGCAATTACCAGCGCTCGTCAGAGTTAGCTGCATAGATTTCCATTTCATTCTTGAACTAACATTCTTGTATACCTGTAGTGCAGTAGAGCGAAGCGAAGTCACCAAACAAACTAGAAATCAGCGCATCCTTTATGCTGCCTCCCTTGGCTTATGTCGGTCTGCCAGTTTAGGCCATCGTTTTCTCGTCCTGAGCGGCAGGTTTTGCTCGCAGATCTGACTTCTGGCAGTTGAGGCGTGACAGGGCTAGAGCTGAGCCAAAATAGAGTAATGCACTGTAGCATCTAAAGCACGTGACATGATTATCAAATACGGCGGCTTAGACCGACAATACACTGGCGTATATGGCAAAACTAGCACCGTTTAAAAACAGGGAAGAGCTCGGGGTTTACGACGTCGATTAAAGCTTCTAAGCGAAACGTCCAACGTTTATGACGTCATTTGCCCTGCGTAGACAAAGGTTAAGGTTCAACGTTACGAAGGCAATAGTCGTGGGGTATATAGTAATTAGGAACAGTTGCTGCGGCCTCAGAAACTTAGAAGGACCGGAAACATACAACTAGAAACTAGGCCGGGAAGAGCCATGAACATGGGTTTAGGGCGCTGGTCAGTTAAAAGAGTTGGTCTGTTTGCCTGTTAGTACGGGTTGTGCAACAGCTGGAGGGACACTCAAAAGTTCGTCCGAACGTTCAGCACTACTGGGGTTGTTACCCCACGAATTTTTTCCTCGTGAAATGACGAGTAGCTCCCTCTCACCTACAGGTCGGTCACCGGCACTTCAAAATAGTCGAAAGCGCTGTCATGCGCCGCTAGTGCAAAGTAAAAAAGGTATCTTCCATATCCAGGCACTTGTCACACGGACCACATATAGCCAGACCTGGGCCCACATACAACTCTAAGTGATACATCGGCCAGCGGGTGGGCAGGCGGCCGGTTTATCAGCATCCGCAGCAGTGTCTTGAGGACTGTGAAGGCAACTCTTCTGGATGGCAGAAAGAACGCCACCGAAAGCACCGAAGCAATGCTAAATGATTCGTTTTCTTTCCTAATATTTTTCTTCGTCCGACACTCTAATAGACGTTGGGATTATATGTCCATTAACAGAAAGGGCATCACAGGCAGGCAGACATACAGACGTAGAGAAAAAAGTACAGAAAAAAACAGAAGACGCAACCTAAAATAGAAAGGGCGAAAGCAAAGGGACACAAGTTACGGTGGTAACGGTAGCAGCAACAACCATAGCAGCAATTGCACTTTGTTTGCTGCCGGCCAGACCGCATCGAATTTCAGAAACTCACAAAACTAAACCATATATGTGCATATATAATTTCTTCAAACAAAAGAATGTCTAAGGTTGTCAAAAAAACAGGTTTACAGTTAGCTAAAACCCTTCTTCTATCCTAATAGTTTTTTACCATCTTTACACTCACATACATTCTTTCTTCACTGTATTTATACATATATCAAAGTAAAGTATTTGAATGTTTAGATCAATGCTTGGTCAATAACAAATTGTTATGTTCTCTTATTTAATCTTTTGTTATACACCACGTGCCTTCATGCCTTCATTGTTGTTCATTCGTTATAAATAACTAATTACTAACCTGATATTCGCTTGCAACATGAATAGGAAGACAAGCATTATCACGCACAAAAGAATTGTCGTTGTTGCAAATCGTTGCCGAAATTTGTTCCCCCGGCATCGACAACCTTTTGTCGATGCGTCAGTCGCCGCCTCGAAGATACGGCCCAGGCCGGAAGTTCCCGTTGAGGAACGGAGCTTCTGGTTGGGGCCGCCCCCAATGCCTCCGGTTAATGGTGGCACTTCGACTACAGGCACGCTCACACCAAATGCCATCGTCGTGTTTCCACGGGTTTACCGCTTCGCCCAGACCACCAGGCACCACTGGCTTCCGCTAATACGCACAACGCCACAGCGATGTACGTAGCGGGCCTAGGACAGGCCCCCCACTCGGTCCCTGAGCGCAGACAGCTTAGCGTCTCCTGAAATACAAGGAAAAATAAGACTACTCTTTAACTCAGTCATTCAACATGACGACGGCTGGTCTTGAACCGATTAGCCCTGGCGCTTTCATCTTAAACGAATAGCAGATGAATAGGTTGCTGACCTTGCAACCAGCAATAATTAAACAAATTCTTTGAGGAATTTTAGTGATTTTTTAACTTCATCACTAGGCTACACTAGGTTGTGTTTTCATCTAGAACGGGCAATTAGATATATGGAAAGACGACTTCTATTTGCACCTCATCACCCCTTAGCACAGACGCAAGAACCACGCCAATCGACACACTAGCTGGCCAGGTTCTGCCGGGTAGGTTTTTTTTTGTACAGACTAATGCATACAAAAGGAGGCTGGGACACTACAGTCCGATTGGCCTACAATGAAGACAATGTGTATATATAGGTCGGCCCGACAGAATGGAGCATGGATACATCGCTACTTGCTTCAGACACGCTGTTATTTTATGGTGAACAGGCTACTCACTGTGGGGCTAGTAAAGGTCGAGAAAGCCGCCAAAAGCAGAAACCTCTGTTATGTTTCCTAAGGGTAACGAAGCAGTGCGATTACGACTGTTACGGCCCTCTGTGTTACGCTATTCTACATGGGACTGTGGAAATTTTCAGGCGCAAATAGATGAAAGGGGAAGAAGGCAAGAAAAAAAGGGCAACGACCCCACGAAGCAGAGGTCCTGGCGACGAAAGCAAATAGTTACATTGTCCCGGGATTTGTCTTTTGCATCCGACAAAAAGACTCCTACAGAGTAACTCGTTCATTAATGAAGCAGCTCGCGTGGAAAAATCGATCACTGTCCAGCCAGGTCTATATTTTATTAAAGCATATACGTATAGATATTGCTCTGGGAGGATACTGACGGCTTGTGTGTTTGGCCTGGTACCAGTTAACATACGAGTATGGGTCTGATTGTTGGCTTGTAAAGCCATAGACACTTTATTCGTTCCCCGCCTGGTGTAACATAACATATTACCCGGACGTGGCTAAAGATGAAACGTGCTGCACGGTTGAGGCAGGGATGGTACTAGCATCACTTTCATTTTCGTCAATGTTCAGTTACTGCTACAGGTCGAGTTGAGGATAATAAAAGACGGACACGATACGGCAACGATATACTGCTGCACGTATATGTTCATGAACGATTGGTGCGTTGAGTCGATGTGTTTATATATCACAACATGCGGGTGTATGTTCATATTCCTTTAGCTTAAGTGGACGTATTGCACGACTCGTTCTCCAACGATAACTGTAGTTGCTCAATACGTGCCACGGGAGTGGTGGATAAATTATATTAATAGCGTGAGTGGGATTTCCTCTCCGGGTACGATAACTCGCATAGTGTGACCCCGTAACAGAAGCTTCTGCAAAGGCGCAACGAAGAGCCGAATAGAGCAGTAGAGATGGGACAAGTCTTTCACGTGCCGCTGCTCGATTTGTAAGCCTCCTGTATTCCAAAACCCTGTTGGTACTAACTCCTTTCTGCCCCTATTTTCCAGATCGTAATTACTAACTTAAAAAGAAAAAGTGCCTATTAAAAGCTTCATTCGAGAAAGAAGCTTACTACACAGAAATATTGATCTTGTTTGCTGCTCTCAGCGTGTGCATTACCACCATTAGCAATAGAAGCAGCAGATTATACTAAGGCTTTACGTGTTACTTTGCCCTAGGTAAAAATATCGGATTTTCATCCTGGTAAAATTTAATGGAGAACACTTTGACCTGAATAAATGGAACAAGAAAAAAGACACATACTTTTCTTATGAAGATTTGTTGCAAACGCAATGAGTCATAGAAGAGGATGAAAGCAACGAGAGAATAGCAAAAAAAAATTATCCTAGTTAGGAATGACTCTCTAGCATTGTTCAAAGATTAACCTATAAACACACACGTTCGTTATATTATATTTTCTGTGCAGCTGTATTCCGTCCTCTAAACGTCTTTACGCTAGAATATACAGACCTATGACTGCATCCGTTAGGTGTCGATGCGTAGGGCAAGAAATTTCTGTTAATCAAACATACGTGTACATTCTAGCGATGGATTCGTGTGCCTCGGATTCCCACGCTGCTGTTAGCTTTCAGCAAATTATTCCAGTGTACATGTATACAACTTCAGCTGGCTCGAGACGCCAAGCAGTATCAGACCTGTAAACTATAAAATTGTTGTCCACTGGTTTCTAGCTTATGCAGCAATGTCAATGGCACGTTTTACTGTCGTCGCCAGATGGCACGTACATATTAAATCTAACCCAAAAGTAAAATAAGTGTCTCGGTGTATCTTTATATATATACGCCACGTACACATATAGTCTTCGGTTTGACAAGCAAAAATGCGGTTGTCTGAGGACCTCTTTGCCAAGGACCGGGGTGTCGCCAGGCCACCCTTATTTTACTTCGCCCTCTCCTTCTCTTAAAAAACAGAAGTCGTTTGGTGCTCCGGTCGGAACGGCCAAGCTGTTTTGAGGTGTCGTGCTGTCAATGTACGTAGTCGTTTTATGAACATTCGCTGGCTTCATCGAAGCTTTCTTTTGCTGGACTTCATAATATAAATTATATTGTAGCCCGACACACCCCGTATGTCGCACCCCGGAGGAAGAGATATTCTCCATTAGATTGATTTACACTTGTACTAAAGTGGTTAGTATAGCACATCTACTGCATATATTATCGTCGGGTGCCACCTACATTATATATGGAAGGTTTTATTTGTCTCGACTTATTATCTCCTTAATTATCTGTTAGGCAGAAATAGTAATAGTCGGCCATCGCATTTATTATAATGCTTGACTTAAAAAAATCAATAGGAACCGCCGTCACGTGCATCATCAAAGCTAGGTCGTGTCGAGAGATCAAGTGGAAGTGATCGTATTATCTAGCAAATTCTACCAAAAGGTTGGAGCAGAGAAGTGGAAACGACTGACGAGGCCAATAAGGCAAATACCGGGGTAAATATATACCGGGGTAATATGACTGTGATTTACCCACTCGAAAAGCATCCGCGCACCAACGCGGAAAACATGCAGGAGTACATGCATGAACGAACTTCAGCTTCAGTCCAACGGTTTACTATTTTCTCGTATGTAAGGGCCGTAAAAAACGATCATAATTGAGAGTTGCTGCATTGCAGGTCATCTCGCGGCCAAATCATCGCGCTAAGCTCTAGGCTTTCGGGAGTAATATCTCCCTAAATGCATGTTGGAGCGGGCAGTTTTTCAAATGCCTGTCGTTAGGAACGTCTGAGCCTGTACTAAGCACTACTTCAAGGCTGCAGAAACGGCCTGAAGTTATGCTGGCATCGTTCTAAACAGCCATATAGCAGCTAGCTAACGAACCAAATAAACTAGTCTGCAATCGGCTAAAGAGAAAAAGGCCGACTTGAACCCTACTTATTAAACAACAATCAGTTAAATCGGTCGGACAGAAAGGTGCGCTAACCTGTGATTGGCTTCTGCTTGGGAGAAGTTTTGACAAAGTGATTTCGTTTCAGAATATCAGCGGCTGCTAGTCGACGCAGATGTACGTAATTGTGTCGCTTTTTATCTGCAGCTTTCTTTGAAGGACTATAATAACGGAACAGTGAGGAGCACAGAAAATTAAAGTTTCATTGCGGATCCGTTCTTTCATTTGACTTTCTTCATGTTTCTTTTGGTATATTCTATGGTAGCAAAGACCGAATACGTGCGCTATATGTACATACATACATGTAATGTTTGCTGGTTGAACAGTGTCTTTAATTTAACGATGCGGTATGTGCCCGACACAATTCTGCCAGATCGCCTGTCCCCTGGCGCACCGTCCGCATAGAGGCGAACAACGCAACGCATCTAAAGAGGCGTTCAGATTTCCCTCACTTGATATGGACATTTACGGTCCTTTAAACTTGGCTGAAATGCATCTTTTCGCCTTAGCATGAAGTAGCATTGCCAGCTTCAGATTGGCGCAGTCATCCAGAATAGGACAGCTGACGATCAGACGAGCGAAAAGGCGTTACCTCTAGCTCGGCCATTCATTCGTAGTAATCCTTTTATTACGCACAGTTCTAAAGATCACCGACATCTGTTTATATTCGGCAGTTTTTAAAGACGCACGGTTATTTCTCTATCTTCCCCGTCACGTTCTCCGTCTCCAATATCCGATTTTTAGATCTTCACCTCTAACTCCCCGTTTTTTCTCTGGCTTGTAATTACTGTTGTGGCCTGGCATATCCGGTGGGATGCCGCCATCCCTGAAAAAGCGGCGCTGCAAATGGAAAATGGCTTTTGCTGCATAAACGAGAGAAACGTTTCTGTTCAACGAGCACATCCAGTATAACTCCGTACGAGTGCCAACAAATGCACTTCATCATTCGGATCTCCGAGCTTCCTGTTAGAAGCCTAACACTTGCCGGGAAGAGAAACAACCGGAGAATATAAAGGGAAAAGGAGTTCTATATCGTTGGTCCTTTCTACCACTGCCATCATCAGCTTGATCAGCGCCCAAAATTGCGTTAGCCTGGTCTACCGTGTTGCTTCAGCCTTATCGGTCATCAGTTTCTTAGACGAGGCCTTTCTGACCGTTGCACAAGACATAAGGGTCAAAGGCAGCAGCCGGAGTTCAAGAACGACGCACTCATTTTCTTGCGTAAATGAGATAAGAAAGGAGAAACAAAAAGTGAGTCTGAGGATAATAATATGCAAAAAAGAGCGACCATAAAAGGTCGATATAGGCGTCGGCTGAGAGAGATCGCAATATCGGATTTCGGGTAGTTTATACCTTCAAAGAGTAATATCATCATCGGCGAGGTGTTCGTCATTCGGGTCATCAATAGTTGAAGGTTTAGTAAGCACCAGAAGCAGCCTACAAGAGGGCTCCGTAGAATCAGAGGGGCTCTTTGAGAAGGCTCAGGATTAATGCGAGTTAGAGCATACGGGTAACAGAGAGTAGCTTCGCTTGGTGTAATTTCACTAGTTTGTTATTTCACTACATAACT